CTGACGAGCAGCGGCTGCTGGGACGGCATCGATTTAAACCCGCGGTTTCCAGCCACGCCTTTCTCTGTGCCTCCTGCTAGTAACACCTTCGGGTTCTTGCCAAAGCACAGAATGAATTTTAAAAGGCGCTTGCTGATTGTTTACTGTTTGCGTTTCTCAGTTTTGGCAGGGAGTGAGCCGGTTTCGCTTTCAGTTCTGGGCGCTGCAGCCCTTCAAACGGGAGAGGATGGTTACACTAAAAGCATACATAAGCGAAATCGTAAGTGTGAGTTGGGGTCAGAAAGTCGTGTTGATACATTAAATTAGGCTTGCTTCTCAAGGGGCCTTGCTGGTTGATTTCTGTGGGAGGAAAATGTTTATAGGTGAGGTAGAGTCTGAATAGTCTTACAATATGGTAAAAATAAGGCTTTTAGTTTTTTCTGTTTCGCACCAACACTTTCACTCCAAGACAGCCTTGCCGTTTGTATTTACATCCTCTAACAATGTGAATTTGCCTAGATTGTAGCTCTAGGCCAGAATCTAGACTAGGTGACACATGCTGTAGCTCTGCAAACTGCTTGTCAGAGACTGGTGCTCTTTTCAGTGGCTGCAGTGGGACTCAGGTGAAACAGTCTGCAGGCTAAGGTTTAGTTTATTCCCGTAGTTGAAAGTGAGAGGTAGCAGAAGTTGTTAGGGACAGAACATAAATCTTGCAAAGTAAAACAGATTTTTAAAAACAACTTCACTATTAAGCTCAACAAGAAGTGGTACTGATTTAATTAACCAAAGAAGACTTTGTTTGGGTTTTGTTCAGTGGATTTTCGTACAGGTGGATTTGTGCTTCCATAGGAGCCGTGTTAACTTCTGTGTCTCCTGGCATGTTTTTCTTAACTTGCATTCCTCACTGAAATCCCTGTTTTATGACACTTTTTTCTTCTCTAGGTTCTTTGCCTCCCCTTTATGCCCAAAAATATTTCAGTTCATTTGTCTGTTTTGGTCACGTTCAGCAGCAGAGCTGGAATCACAAAGATTATTTCTTACAAGTTCTGTGAAAATCAGTGGCTGTGGCAGGGAGAGGGGCTTAAATTAGTATCTCCAGTAAGGAACAGGCAGTTATGTTCACCACTTCAGCTATTCAAGAGACATCAGGCAAACGATCCATCCATGACAGCCGTTGGTGATCACTGCTAGCAATGTCGTGTGCTAGCAGTGTTGTGCATCTTTTGGTTTGCTGTGGTTGTGAAGCATGAGGCAAAGATGCTCCTCCACTCTGCAGTCACAGTCCCCTGGAAAGGGATGTGTGAATGGTAAGCCAGGGGCAACGTGATGGTCTGTGAATTGTAAGCCATCGCATCTGTTATGATTACAACTTCAGAAATCTGTCATTAGGGGAGTATGTGCTGAAAATCCACAAGTCCCATCTGTTTCGCTTTCAAGTTACTGTGTAAAATTATCTGTTTGGATACTAACAAATACTACATTTTCAGACTAGGAAAGCATGCGAGGCTCTATCATTGTTTGAAATTTTGGCCAGGGATCTGAATAAAAGCCTGAGAGCCAAGGCTTCTGAGTTGCCATCCAGTCATTGACCAGCTGGAGTAACCAAAGCTTTTTAACCTGGATGCAGAACATTGCCTAAACGTAGCATTTATGCTATGCAGGTGCACAGCCTGAAAACCAGCCAAGAAGAAACTGGTACTCCAAAGTCCTGGTCTTACGGGCAGGCTTTGTGTTCCTTGGCAAGTAGTACAAAATGTGGGATTAGGTCTCTTAAATTGTGGTTCTCTGCAGTGTTGTGTAGAGAGAAACGGGTACTGCTAGAGGGCAATTCTTCCTGCCTGTCTGAGGTGCTACCCAGTGTCTAAGACAGTGTTAGAGACATACTGTTTATTTTTCATACACAATGTGTAAAGTTGTGAAAAGGTATATTAACATGATATTTCCTAATTTTTGTTTGTTTGTTCCTGTGTCAGTGTTAGTGGGACTAATAGGCTTAGAAGACTGAAAACAAAGGATCTTCACAACATCTTGCATCTAGATTGTGGCTCTGCACTGATGTCAGTTCGGAGTTCAAGCAATATAATCCCGTTACTTTTAAAATCATAATTTGGTTTTATGAAATAAAGCAAGATGGAGGAGAGATTTAAGGCTGCTACAAAAAAAAAAAGTGTAAATGTGGTTCAAATGCAGGCTACAGAAGGTGAAAGTCGCCAACCATGAATATTGCTGTCCTCTTAGAGTTGGAGAAAAAGAGAATGCCAGAACCAAACCCTCATTGCAGGGGAATTCTGTTTCATTCCAAATGTATGGTTAATTTACATAGACTAGATCACATTTGTTCTAAACTGAAGGGTAGGGAATACTAGCAGCAACTAGATTAAATGAGGGAATAAGAACTTTTTTTGCTTTGTTATCTAACGTTCGGTTCTTCATGCAGCGTTGGGACAAAAGCTCAGATAGGTAATCTGATGTAGCCACTACTTCTGGAGACTGATTCATGCTTAAGGCTACTGTGGTAAATACATATGGTCTTATCTGATGTGAAGATAATATTCTTCCTCTGAAGACTGTTTAAGGGAATACATATGGCTATATCTCTAGCATAGGACCTCATGGAAAGTCAGAAAACTGGTTTGTTTTAACTGGTGGCAGTACAACTTGTGAGGTGGTGACTCACATGTCTGACAATTTGGCTAGAACAGATTCCCTCCTACCTCACTGTAATGCTTCATTTTTCTGATAGCAAACTATTTTCTCCAAGCAATGAGACTTTATCCTCTGCTTTTAGTAATAGTTTCTCCCATTAGGGCTGCCTGTAAGCCTGCTGTAAAGTACCTGTTGCTTTAGCGTAAGAGCAGATTTGGGGAACACACCCAGTTATGTCCAGATACAGGCTGGCCCTTCCTGGTGAGAGACCAAGTGTTTGTGTATAGCTTGCAAAGACTATCTCTTGGAGGAGAATGAAGTCTGCAAACAAGCAATCTTGGAAGGGTACAGAAATCAAACGGATTATGTTCTGTGCTTTCAGACCAAAGGCTAAGTCTTGAAAACATGATTCCTGCAACTGTTCACATTGTCCTGAGTGCTCTATATTTATGCTGCCACAGAAAGAACTGGTTACACTCGGAGGAGAAACACTAGAAACACTAAGGACTGAAATGCGCTTGCAGCTAAAGTATCCTCATCATGAATAGGTACACAACTATCAGACAGCTTGGTGATGGGACCTACGGCTCTGTCCTCCTAGGGAGAAGCATTGAATCTGGAGAGCTAATAGCCATTAAAAAGTAAGTATTTTCATTTATTACTTAACAGTGGATGGTCCAGATTTTTCTATTCTGTGGTCTGCATCGCTTGGTCATGCTGGTTTGAGTACTTCACATTCCACACAACATTTGTATGTGGAGTTGTATTGGGGCAGCATGCAGAGCTCAAGTTCCCTGTATCCTTCAAAGTCCCAGCAGAAGATAAGCAAGGGTGAGATATATAGGGTTATTGTAACAGTGGTCTGTTACTATGTGCAGTCAAACATGTATGATGTATATTAGAGTATTCTGCAGTGCTGCTTTGGAACCTGCAGCCCCTTCCCTGCTGCTTTCAGAAAACATACATTTCATGGTCTTATTTCCAGCGTAGTGTTAATACTGCAGTGATACACAATGGACCTCATTGTCCATTATCTGTATCTTTATATGCTATTATGTATTGGTCTTTTCAGCTTAAGATTTTCTTGAGAAATCCACTTGATTTTGTCTGCCGCTTCAGCAGTGACCTCAGTTTGTAAATGGCTTATTTGTCCTAGTTGTGGTAAGAGACAGCTGTAAAGCATTGCAGGCACCTTCCTGAAATACTGACCATGACCCAGGGACATACTTGTCAAAAGAGCTTTCAGTACAATGCTGTTTTGTATGAACAGTCGATAGTTGGCTTTAGCAACTTTCTAAGTCCTCTGTGCTGAGGGTATTTTTCCTGCATCAAACCTTGCCAGAGGCACCTTTGATTTTCATTTTGCAACATGGTAGAAGCTAAAACATTTCAGAACAAACCAGAAGATGGTACTCTCTTAGCTTACACATTAATGCCAATTTGTTATTAAGAATAGAAAATGGCCTGGTGGCTGGATGCACAAGATGGTAACTACAAAAACACTGCTTAAACAAAAAAAATAATACAGGCCCCTTCAAGAAATAAAGGGCTCGTAGTTCTTAAACTATTACAAGAGCTGATTTCAAACTGGAAACTTACTGCAATAATAAGCAATACTATTACTATTAAAGTCTGACAGAGACTCAGATCTTCCAAGGGTGCCTAACTCTCTGAATTCAGACTTTAAGCAGTTGGGTATTTTTGTAAGTTTAATCTATGCTCTTGTGTGTGTGTGTGTACATGCGAGCCTTTGTCCTGTTGGTCCTAAAGCGTAGAGTTATGTGTGAAAGAACTAGTCATAATCAAAATGCATATGAACAGATAGGACCATATGTTACACACAAATGCAATGTTCAGAGTTATATTCTGGCTTAGGAGAAAGCAGATCTGCCACGCAGTTTGTTTCTGTTAGAGCAGAGTTGCTTATAAGCTTGAAAGGAAAGGCAGAATTCAGAAAGCAGTTGGCCTGATAGATGCAACTTGCAAGGGAGAGAGAAACATGGGGAGCAGTGGACACTGAAAAATGAAGAAATACAACCTAGAGGGGAAAGTTATTGAAATTACAGAGAAGTCAATATATAGAGAAAAGGAGCAAGAAGAATATGGTAAAATTGGAGACCCAGTGAAGTGATTTAATTTGGTCTTCAATAGATTTGCTTCAAAATTTAGTCTTTGTTCATAACAAGTGTTGTAACACTTGTCCTTTTTACAGTTAGACTCCACCACATTGTATACTGGAAAGAAAAATAGCAGGCCCTGACTTGTTGAAGGCTCTGAAATTTTTGCAGCAAGATATATATATATATATATGTATAAAAAGGCAGTCTTGTCTAATAGTAATGCTTTTAAATTCTATTAGCGTGTACCTTGTCTAGATATGTAAAGTTTTTTGACAAAGGAGACAGCATGTTATATTTTGATGGAAGAAATGAATTGTTAAGATGTAATGAGACCTAGGGGTCTAAGATCAGCTGATGTTGGCCATGTATTAACTGTTTTTTTCCCTCCCTACTGTTGTAGAATGAAGAGAAAGTTTTATTCCTGGGAGGAATGCATGAACCTTCGAGAGGTTAAGGTAATGGTTTCATTCAGTAGTTGACTTTTAATTAGACAATCCCTGTCACGTAACATCAAATTCTTTCCACCACTTTTATCAAAAACTGCCCCCAACCTGAGCTGTGGCATACGGCATTATAGTTCTGTTTCCTGGCTCTGCATTTGAACAGCATGTCTGTAGTCTTCTGAAAGTTCTTATTAAAATTCTGTAGTCTTACCAAAAAATCATTTGGTTGTAGAGAGCTGCTTCTTCCTTGCAGTAAGTGGTGAGTGAGTATCACAGAACCTGGAGTTGATTGGTGTTTGTTTTTCAGAGCTTGAGACCACATGATCTTTGCTCAGCAGTAACCTTTGTACACACAGTTGTTTCTGGATAGTTGGTTTGGGTACAATTGGCAGGAAATTCTGACACCAGCAAAGCTTTAGGGGTATGTTCTAAGGATTTCCCTTAATTTCTAGGCTTTGCTATCACTTTTGCAAACATGCAGAAAGCCTAGGTCACTTTCTTACAATACCACGCATTTGGTACTGTGTTGCTACAGCAAGAATGAATGTAGAATACACTGAAAATCTAAAAAGAAAGGAGAATGAAGTCGCAACTATGCTGGTTTTGGCTGGGATAGAGTTAATTTTCTTTGTAGTAGCTGGTATGGGGCTGTGTTTTGGATTTGTGCTGAAAACAGTGTTGATAACACAGGCATGTTTCAGTTACTGCTGAGCAGTGCTTGCACAACCTCAAGCCTTCTCTGTTTCTTACACTTCCCCACCAGCGAGTAGGCTGGGGCTGGGCAAGAGGCTAGGAGGGGACGCAGCCAGGACAGCTGACCCCATCTGACCAAAGGGGTATTCCACACGACATTGTGCTCGGTAGTAAAAGTTGGGGGAAGAAGAAGGAAGGGGGGGTCGTTCTGAGTGATGGCATTTGTCTTCCTAAGTCACTGTTATGCGTGATGGAGCCCTGCTTTCCTGGAGATGACTGATCACCTGCCTGCTGATGGGAAGCAGGGAATGAATTCCTTGTTTTGCTTTGCTTGCGTGCACAGCTTTTGCTTTACCTATTAAACTGTCTGTATCTCAACCGACAAGTTTTCTCACTTTCTGCCCTTCTTACTCTCTCCCCCATCCCACTGTGGGGGGTGAGTGAGCTCAGCTTGCCACCAGGGTTAATCCACAATACCAAGGAAGAATTTCCAGGGTTATATTTGGTCCTGAGTCTAACCTGACTATTGCCAGTGCAAGTACAAGAGTATGAATTCTGCCAGTAGGAAGTTACTTACAGAGAAAATGCAATTGTTCTGGTGCCTACTGTGATGCCAGATAACTGGCTTTTGAATGACCAGCACATTAAATTGATATGTATACTGTATATCTGGTAATGCTTGTCTTTGGTCTCAGAGCTGTCTATTTAAAATATTGAAGAATTTTTGAAGCCAAGTCTTCTGCATCAGTGAAATAGTTTTTTCTTTTTCATTAGAATAAGACCCTTGTGAAATCCTGTTTGTATTTTCTTTTTCTAGTCTTTGAAGAAATTAAACCATGCCAATGTAGTAAAGCTGAAAGAAGTCATCAGGGAAAATGATCATCTGTATTTTGTGTTTGAATACATGAAGGAAAATCTTTATCAGTTAATGAAAGAACGGTATGTTAACAGTATCTCCCATTCCTGATATAAATTACTTGCATAATGTGCTTTTAACAGCCCTGATACTTTTCAAAGGACTTTGGATCATTTGTTTCAGTTTAGATCACTATGGCTTAAAGCTGTGTGCAGCAATAGGAGCTTTGGCTGTCACCTTTGGGCATATCCCAAACAGTTTGGTGAGAGTTTCCAGTCTCTTCTCAGATTAGCCTGGCAGATAAGTAGGGCACCCTTTTGAGAGTTAGGAACTGTGGACTTTCAACAGCCCTCATGCTGAGGAGGAACTGAACCTAGAACTTTTGATTTCCACATAAATACTCCAACCAGCAGTGCTTTTTTCTATTAGGGGGTGGTATCGCCTCCTCTTCTGTTATGGCTTCCTCAAATAAATGAATAAGTAAAATGTGGTTGAAATGGCAATCACAAGGAGTCAAATTCTGGATTGCTTCTAGGAATTATTTTTTTCCTTGCAATTTGAACTGACATGTCCAAAGACTGCCTGGTTGGTTTGTCAGCATTCTCAAAATCTAGCTTCTTGATTGCTGGAGCATTAATAAAGTGTTAATTTTAGCCTTTGGCCCATGATAGCACCCTCCAATTTGGGGCAAAACAGCTCCCTGTTTTGAATCGGAGGAGGCCATTTTCTCTCTATGGACCATAGAATCAGCCTGGGAGATGACAGTAATCTTACTTGATTTAACAAAGTAAGGTTATTGTTATAACATCTCTGTGACTACTACATAAAATACATTTTTGAGCGTAAAAATACTTATGCATGCATGAGTATAGAAGGACTCCAGCTAAATTTGACACATACATATGGATGCTGATTTTTAATTACATGAAATGTTGAACCTTGAGAAAGTGTTTCAAGTGCATAATATACAAACCAGTTATCTTTAGGAATTTCTTAGAAATGCTTGATATATCCTACCTCGTATGAAAACAGAAAGGGCAGATGTCTAAAAATGTGCTACACATCATGTTCTCTACAGTTTAGCTAGGCCTTGGACTGGTGAGAAATTGTATAAATCAAACCTTTAAGAATGTGATTTATTTGCTTAAGTTTTAGTTAAAATTGCCAGTCTTGCTGGAAGAGACTGTAGAGGAAATACGACTTTTTCTACTGCAATTAAAAAAAAAAAAAGCAAGCGAATATGAAAAGCTGACTCTAGTAGCTGATCTCACTTCTCAAATATGTGATGGTCAGGTTTTTTGAGAAGGAATCAAGCGCAGGAATTTGAATAAGGCCCAGGCCATCTTCTTCTTTCACTGTTAGGCTCTTTCTGAATAAAATTGTCACTGATTTCCACCTCAACCCATTTCTGCTGTGTTTTGGCGTGCTCAGAGGCAGCTGGTACAGAGCTGTTTGTTCAGAATCCTCTCTTGGTAAGAGAGGCTGTCATTAAACCGTCTACCATGGCTGATCTCGCCTGAATATTATGAGGAGAAGAGCCTCTTGTTTTCAGTGATAGCATATGAGACTCTTTTTTCAGATAATAGAAAAGAAAGAAGTCGCACATAAGCTGTTAGTTAATAACAAGGGAAAGTCAAAAGTATGGCTTGTATATGCTCTAGAAGAGAGGCCAGAAGAATCTGTGCATGAAAAGCACTAAATTAACATGAACCCTTGCTGTCTTGAGGAGCGTGCCTCATGACCTATACATGTTCAGGTTTGTGCAGTTTGGCCAATTTTTTTCCTCCTTTTTTTTTCCCCTTTTTTTAATTCTCTGTCCCACATAGTCTTAACATGATGTCACATAGTCTTAATATAATGTAATATGGCAGTTCTGCATATACTGTGTAAATTTTATTGGAGAAATAAACTACATAAGAGGACCTAAAATATATCTGGGGGGTTTATTGTCATTGTTACCTGTTATCTTTGGTTCATTAGATAGCATAAGCAAACGTGTGAACTTAATCATTAATATTTATTTCTTCCCTTTTCTTTTATCTCACAGAAACAAACTGTTTCCTGAGTCTACAGTTAGGAATATTATGTATCAGATCCTGCAAGGGCTTGCATTTATCCATAAGCATGGTAGGTTCTGTTTTAGGTGTAAACATTTTGAGCAAGGTAGTGTTTGTGTAAGTTTTTTAATGAGTACACTAACAATTACTAACTTTAGTAAAGGGAGTGATCAAAAGAATGGTTCTATATGAGAGATTCAGATTACTGAAAATACCTGTATTTTATAATTGGCTGGTATTTTAGTATGGAGGTTTGCTCAGTTCCTTTTCTGTTGATTTCTACTTAAAAACAGAAAAATAATATGATTTATTTGAAAAAAAGCTAAGTCACCTTTTTTGATCAATTGGCAAATGGATCACAGCCTTTCAGAATACCTTTTACTGCTGTTTAACTTACTATAGCTATAAAGAATGAACAATTTTGTGTCGAAACTAACTGTCTTGTTCACTGACCTGCTTCGCACTACACTGATATTCTGCCATGATGTTGCAAATCCATAGTTACAAAGATCTGGAAATTCATGGCAAGCCTGACAGGATGGTCTTGATGGTCTTGTGGCTCACAGTGTAAGATTGGGTGTCCCGAGACTCTCTCTGCAACAGCTTTGGAAAAATCACATGAGTTTTTTTTCCCTTCTCTCTTTTTCTCTGTTCTGCTCCTGTATGGCATAGAAATGCTTGTCACGTAAACTTTTTATGTTCTTTGTCCGATCTAACAAACAAAGTTAATATAGTTATACTGGACAATGTAGACACATCCTATGTGAATGTTGTCTACCTTGACTTCAGCAAGGCTTTTGACACTGTTTCCCATAACACCCTCATAGGGAAGCTCAGGAGGTATGGGTTGGATGAGTGGACAGTGAGGTGGATTGGGAACTGGCTGAATGGCAGGGCTCAGAGGGTTCTGATCGGCAGGGTAGAGTCCAGATGGATGCCGGTAGCTAGTGGAGTTCCCCAGGGCTCGGTACTTGGCCCAGTCTTGTTCAACTTGTTCATCAATGACCTGGACGAGGGGACGGAGTGTACCATCAGCAAGTTTGCGGATGACACAAAACTGGGAGGAGTGGCTGATATGCCAGAAGGCTGCGCTGCCATTCAGCGGGACCTGGACAGACTGGAAAGTTGGGCGGAGAGGAACCTGATGAAGTTCAACAAGGGCAAGTGTCGAGTGCTGCACCTGGGGAGATTGAACCCCATGCACGAGTACGGGCTGGGGGCTGACCTGCTGGAAAGCAGCTCTGCCGAGAGGGACCTGGGAGTCCTGGTGGACAACAAGCTGACCATGAGCCAGCAATGTGCCCTTGTTGCCAAGAAGGCCAATGGTTTCCTGGGGTGTATTAAGAGGAGTGTGGCCAGCAGGTCAAGGGAGGTTATCCTCCCCCTCTACTCTGCCCTGGTGAGACCCCACCTGGAGTACTGTGTCCAGTTCTGGGCTCCCCAGTTCAAGACAGATGAGGAACTCCTAGAAAGAGTCCAGAGGAGAGCAACTAGGATGATAAAGGGACTGGAGCACCTTCCCTACGAGGAAAGGCTGAGAGAGTTGGGCTTGTTCAGCCTGAAGAAGAGAAGACTGAGAGGGGACCTTATCAACACATACAAATATCTTAAGGGCAGAAGTCACGAGGACGGAAGCAGTCTGTTTGCAGTGGTGTCCAGCGACAGGACTAGGGGCAACGGGTGCAAGCTGAAACATAAGAGGTTTCAGTTGAATATGAGGAAAAACTTCTTTACTCTAAGGGTGACAGAGCACTGGAACAGGCTGCCCAGAGAGGTTGTGGAGTCTCCTTCTCTGGAGATATTCAAAGCCCGCCTGGATGAAGTCCTGTGTAACATGCTCTAGGAGAACCTGCTTTAGCAGGGGGGTTGGACTAGATGATCTCCCGAGGTCCCTTCCAACCCTTGCGATTCTGTGATTCTGTGAATGTTTTTTTCTGTTCTCTGTGGGAGCATATTCAAGGCCATAGAGAAAACTAAACATGTTTCAAGGTCTCTGAAAAGGATGATGTAGAGCTCTAGTAAGGTACTACAGACGGAGCTGTATATAGGAAACAGTGGTCTCAGGTGCTTGCAAAAAAGAAGCATAAGGACAAGTTTTCTAGGCTAAAGGTGGAAGCAAATTTTAGGGACAGTAGTCAGTGATATTCTAGCCCTCTTCTCTCATTTATATTGAAAGAACTCTTGCCAAATGCCTATTTGTGATCAAGTTTTGCTGAATGCAGAGAGCACTAAAAAAATATGCTGAGATTCTCTGTTATGGCAATGAGTTACTGAGTGCTTGCAGATTATTATGTTCTCAGATGTAAAAAGTTTCAAAGTGAAAAAAAAATTACCTCATGTTTTAATTTGTATTCTGTATGGAAGAACTTTTGAAGTAATTTTTTTGGTGTCTTCATTGCAGAGTTCCCAACACAATTAGAATGAAGCTAACATTAAAATGCTGTAAAGTTTTTTTATGTTAAAGAAGTTTTACTTGGATGGGAGCTATCTGACTGAATGCCCTGAATTGTTATAAGATAGTCAACTTGTGTGTACTGTTCTTCACATTCTGACCAACCATTATACTGACTGGCTCTGTTGATCACATAAATCTTTAAACTCTGTGTCGTGCTATTCAAGCTTCAGCAATAAGAACTAAAGCAAAACAGTCCAGGTGGAAAATAAAGGCTACAGCTAGGGGTGGCATTGCAATGCACATCAATATCTCATTTGAATTTTAGGGTTCTTTCACAGAGACTTGAAACCTGAAAACCTCCTTTGCATGGGACCAGAACTTGTGAAAATAGCAGACTTTGGCTTAGCCCGAGAAATCCGATCTAGACCTCCTTACACCGACTATGTATCCACAAGATGGTAAGTGCCAGTATTCACCTGCATTGTGTGAAACTTACTTTAAAGAAATAAGGTATTAAATTTGTGCTGAATGTAATACCATTTTTGATGCCTCCTCTTTCTGAAACTTTTATTTAAGCTTGGCTTAATTCAAAAAGCTTCAGTTAGTGCAAGACAGTTTACAGATGACAGCAGCACAGGAACAAAGAGGGAGCCTGATACGACAGGTAGGACATGCTAGGATTGCTGCACGTCAGGAAGGCATACGAGAGCTTACAAGACCTTAGTAGGTTTTAATTCTTCATTCTAGAAAAAAATACGAAGTCTTGTATAAAGGATAGGACAGGATAGGAGCTTTTTAAGGGATGTTTGCTCTTAACAGCAAAGAATGAAGAGCTGAATGTTTTCATGTATATCTGTCTGAATTGTGTTGATTGTTGGGATTTTTTTTTTCTCTCTTACAGGTACAGGGCTCCTGAAGTCCTTCTGAGATCCACCAGCTATAGTTCTCCAATAGATATTTGGGCTGTTGGTTGTATAATGGCAGAAGTTTACACACTGAGGCCTCTCTTCCCAGGCGCCAGTGAAATTGATACTATATTCAAAATTTGCCAAGTCTTGGGGACGCCAAAGAAGGTAGCTAAAGTAACATTCCATACTGCAATAATACTAGAGGTATTCTACAATACAGAATGGCACAATAGCAGTAAGCATAAAAATAATCAATTTTCATGCTTCCTGCTATTGCATGGTATTGATCTCAGGTGTAGTAACCTAAATTAAAACTTACTTTCTGTGAAATAAGCATTATGTAATTATGCTATAAAGCCTGACATTTAGAGGAGGAGATATAGACCCCTGAATAGCAAGTCATTAGACTGTGATTTCATTAAGCAGAAATTTCATTTTCTGTTGCATATTGCATATAAACCTGTGGTTTAAGAGGCTAGAAAATGGAATCATGGCAAGAGTCTTGTCTCCTCGTTCCATTTGTGCCTTTGACTTGGTCGGATGTGAAGTAAGACTTACCTCTCACCAGAGGTTTGAGGTGAAAATTTCTAGTGAAATCTTTAATATAGTCTAGAGTAAGCTGGACACAGTCTATTACTGGTAGGAGTATATACGCTAGTGTACTTAAGCACTGTGATATTTTACAGCTGAACTTTCTTTGTGATTGGGAATCTCATTCTTCCAGAACGACTGGCCTGAAGGCTACCAACTTTCAGCCTCCATGAATTTTCGCTGGCCTCAGTGTGTACCTAACAACCTAAAAACTCTCATACCTAATGCTAGCAGTGAAGCAGTGCAGCTCATGAGAGACATGCTGCAGTGGGACCCCAAAAAGCGGCCAACAGCTAGTCAGGTTTGGTTTTATTTTCTTTTTCTATTTCTTTCACTTGATTCAGTCTTGGAACTGGATAATGGAAGAGATGGGATGTCTCTGGGGTGATTCAAGTTTTGATGGCTGAATCTGTAATGGCAGGTGTGCATGTTTTTGCTTATAAACTGTGTTGGATGAGTCTAAGCTGCAGTTTCCATGGGTTGTACAGTAGAGAAAAACTTACTGGGTGATTTAGAAAAACTTTAAAAGCAATATACTAGGGAACTAGAAGAGCGAATCTGATTTTCAGGTGCACTTGTGTAGCGTCAGGCTGAAAATACTGCCTGTTGCCTGTGTGTTTATGCTGTAGCAAACACAGTATGAGGAAATGATTCCTGGAAACGGGATGGAAAGAGAAGGCCAGTTTGCACATGCACACACACATGAAGAGACAGCACATAATGAAACATGCCGCTAGATGCCATAGACCTGGTTGAGTATCTTTCTTCTGTAGAACCTTTTCCTTTTTTGCAAGTCTACAGAGGATTTGATAACTTGGTATCTGTTGAAACTGTTCTACTATCGCAGCATTATTCTGAAGTGGATTGTGCTCACTAGAATCTGGTGTTGAGAGATGGGTCTTTTACTGTTTCCCACCTCAGAAAAAAGGAAATTAAATTTGTACCATCACACAGGGCTAGGGTAAGTTAAAAACTTTGGTTTCCTAAGTTGGATCTTAATATCTTCATTATGTTTTAGGCACTTCGGTATCCGTACTTCCAGGTTGGGCATGCCCTGGGCGTTCAGGAACTGGGGAAGCAAAAGGAACTACATAATAAATCGTCTCTACATATTAAGCCTGTCCCTCCAGCACAACCCCCTCCAAAACCTCATGCCCGCATTTCGTCAAGGCCTTTTCAACAGAGCCAGTCTTCTCAGCACTTGATGTACCCATATAAACCAGACAACTCTAGTGCTGAGCACAGTAACTACTTACAGGAGGACAAGTCTAACCAGGTTCTTCTGCCTGCAATTCACAATAAGGTTCCTCAGCAGGTAAAGGTCCATCTAGCATAAGATACACTTCCTGATAACTGCCTGATTTTTCCTTAATTGCATTTCTTCTTCTTGTTCTCTTTCAAGGTCCTTATACTTTACTAAAAGGACAGGAAATGGGAATAAAGAATAGTTGTAACTTTCTCCTAGAAACTGGTAGTTACTCTGTTGAAATCTAAATCCAATTGCTGTAAAACAAGCAAGTCAATTTCTCATTTCAAAGCCATTTTATGCTTCCTTTTGTTGTAAAGTACCACTTAAAGGATGGCACTGTGATTTCGTACAAGGATGTACAGTGGTCAGAATATTGATGGGGTTGATGTCAGAGAGAAAAGTATTAAGCTAGATAGTATTGTAAGGGGGGGGAGCGGGGCTATTGCCTTCATCCATTTAAGACATCCGATTTATGTGACTTGAGAATAATAGTCCCTTTGGGCTTCTATACTGGCCATGGAAAACAACAGATACTCTTTCAGTGTAAGAACCTGCCATTTCTGATGATTATACAAGGAGACTGGATTCATAAGGCAGATGATGAGAGTGAACAGTCTGAAGTATGGTCTGTACTGGCCATGTACAGAGTCACACAAGGTTGAAATATACTGATGAGCTTAAATGGATGAAGAGACACAAACTTGTACCTATGCTGTGCTGCAAGAAAAATACGTTTTATAAATGTCTAGCCACAGGCTTGTGGAAGCATAAACTGTGCATGTAGTTTTGTACTCCCAAGATGGGTCAAGTAATAAAAATTGAGAGTGAGCTAATGTTTGGGAGGTTTATAGTGAAATAGAATTGGAATTGAGACCTAAGAAATTTGTTTTTCTGTCAGTGCAAGATACTTTATTACAGGATGAAATGCAGAAGATATGTAAGAATGTCTACAGGCCACAGAATGTGCTCTCTGTGTGTTTAATGAAAGATTAGGATTCTGTTGTTACAGGTCTACTACCACTATTACTCTCTGACACAGGAAAAGAAAAGTCCTCTTTGTTCCTGTCACCTGTTTTTTTATGGTGTAAGTGTGTGGGTTTGTTTCTTTTCAATCTTTATAACAGAAAACATCAGCTGGGACTGAGAATATAAATGGTGAACTTAAACCAAAAACTAGGCGAAGATGGGGACATCTTGCTAGAACAGTTAAGAGTTCTGAAGACTGGGATGACTTGGAAGACCTTGATTTTAGCTCTTCTATCACAAGGATTGACTTGAAAAACAAGAAGAGGCAGAGTGATGAAACTCTTTGTAGGTAAGTTGTTTTCTTTTATGTCCGTGTTCTATTTGGTCTTACTTCCTTTAGGCTTCACTTCTTTTTCATGATGTTGCTCTTTGTGCTTTCCCTGGATCTAGAAACATATATCCAGGCCAGTAAAGGGCATGCAGCTTGTCTCTGTCCTGCTTTGTTTTGCCTTTGTTGAATGCTGACCTTTGAATAGTCACACATTTTTTGATGGACAGTGCACCCTTCTATACAATTCCTTGTTCATTTTTCCCCACTGAAAATTATGCTTCCCAAGTCTTCCCAAGTTAATCTTTGAATATATACTTTCTATTTCACATATGAACCATTTTGACGTATTTCATGCTTATAAACTGTGTTGGGTGACTCTTAAGCTGCAGTTTCCATGGGTCATACATTAGAGAAAAACTTACAGAGTGATTTATAAAAACTTTTAAAGCAATATATTAGGGAACTAGAAGTGTAAATCTGATTTTCAGGTGCACTTGTATGGCTTTAGGCTGAAAATACTGCCTGTTGCCTGTGTGCTTATGCTGTAGCAAACACAGTTCGAGGAAATGATTCCTGGAGATGGGATGGAGATGAGAAGGCCAACTGTGGATAAACATATGCTACAAGAATTGGTCTAAGTGTAGCAATTTTTGGGTTACAGGTTTGAAAGCATTTTGGACCTGAAGCCTTCAGATGCTGGAGGCTCTGGCAGCAGTGCACCTTCCCATGCGACCTTTCCACGGGAGGACACTCCCACATTGCGAGTTTCTGCAGCAAAGCAACACTACTTGAGACATTCTAGGTATCTACCTGGTTAGTAAAAAATACTTACTTCTTTTTCTTCCTGTGATTCCAACAGCTGCATGAAATAGTCATTGTTACATTAGGCTTTATCCTTTGAGCTGGCGGAGGGGGGCTACTGCTTGAAGAAAATGAGGAGAGCAAGAGCTTTGCTAATGTAGATGGCCATGATAAGAACTACATTCTAGCAGTCTACCAACTGAGATAAATCTTGCTTACAAGTAGGGGATGGGATTGTTGGTACTTCTTCCTCCTGTTGGATACTCTTTTATACTTTGAAGGGTATTAGAAAATGTCAGTTGATGTGCCAAACTATTCCCTGTTTCCCTAAGAAGGATTAGACTGGAAAAGAAAGTGCCCTATGTTCACCTCATGAGTGTATAATACCATGAAGAACAGAAGCTAACTAATAGTGGGAATATGCTTTGCTGTACCTTGGAGTTAAATAGAATGCAAATCCATCTCTCTATAGAGGAATTGCATGCCTCTCTTCATGTTAACCTCTGCTATACTGAGACCAGCACTGGGGCAGGATGAAGGACAGCAGGTGGACAGCATGTTTGCTTGTATTTACAATGAGCTGAATATAAATGTATCCTCTTTCATAATTTCTCTTTATAAAGACAGTGTTAGCTATTCATTCACTTGCAGTACTAAAACTTAAAAATTAATTCAGTGAACTAGAAGGTATCGTGATGGTAAACTGAAGTCTTTTTTTCTGAAACAATTAATTTCAATTACTTTCAAACTGGATCACTTTAAACTAGAGTTTTGGTAGCTAGAAGTTGTGTTACTAGAGGAGGTTGTAAAAAACACATTGATCCTAAGCCTGTTTTTGCTTTACCATATATTGTGGGTGCAGCCTTGTGTGTTAGGTACCCTGCTTAAATATGGGAAGTATATTAAATGCAAGTAATACGTGACATAAGAACTCTGCTGCAAACTGTTTGCACAATCTGTGGTTTCAGTAGATACGCCAAAGAAGAGTACAGTACTATGAGAAATGTAATCTACCATTATTTACTCCCAGATTATCTTATCACTGTTGGGCTCAAAGCTGTAAAATGCTGTGTTGGATACAAAGCGTAGATTTCATTTACGTGGCAAGGTTCGCCTAACGTGACTTGAGAATAATTGTGGCCTTGATGTAAGGATCCTGTCCCTTGACATAAGCAGCCATTGATGCTAGTGGAACTACAGACTATTATAATTGCAGGGTTAGGGCCTATGGCTAGTCATAGTACTCCCCTATGAGAGGATGGGAAGTAAACCAGAGGCATGTTAAGAGTGAAAAGGTTTTGGTAAAGTTCACAGAACTGGACATCTGCTCTACGATTGTGCATCAGATGGAATGAATGCAAGCCTGTGCAACAATAGTGATTTCAGTGTGATAATTTTTCCATTTTTGCAATAGGAATAAGCACAAGGAGTAGCATAGTCTCCACTTCAAACAACGAGTCTGTTCCGTCTAATCCATGGCCCAGTTCTGGTTTGCCTGGGAAAGCTTCTGGTTTGGGAGGAAGCATTAACAGGATGAATTCAGGTAAGAAGCTGAGCTTAACACTCTTGAGAAAAGACAAGAGGTGATGTCTCCGCAATTCCAGGTAGCTGTATTTTGTGGTCACCCATTTCTAACACATTTTCAGCTCTGAAGATACTTGCTACTGTGTCTATTCTTTCTGTGGAAATCAGTTACGAGCACTTGTTCCTTGGATTTGGAGACTACCTTAAACTGAAACATAGTTTCTAATGAATCCCGAAAAGTGTGTTTTGAAGTACCACATACATAGAAGGTTGGACAGCTTAGGTTTGTTCAACCTGAAATACTTCTTTTTGCCTTCAGTTTCCTTCGTCAGTTTTTGTTGAGTCGTATTTTCAGGTTTCCAAATTATTTAAGCCAAGCTGGTGCGTAAATGATTGTCGCAGAGGAGGAAGCTGGTCTAAATCGAACTAGCTATATGCACCACTTTTGCTATGTGAATAAAACAAATAAAATCTATCCTCATATCTTTTAATTGATAGTGTTTAAAATAGTGAAATAATTGTAGCCTTAAAAAAATTCAGACAAAACCCAAAACTCTTCAATTTTTCTTCTTCAGGTTTTTGGGGCATTTGGTATTTCAGGTATTTAATCCCTATTACTTGTTTAGAAGTAATTAATTTGTAGATTTTTGCATTAGATTTTACCAGATATACTTAAACATGTTGATGTTTCTAGATTATATCTATGTATTTCCTTTCTAAATCTTTTTTGGCCTCAGGTTTTCATGTGATGTTAACAGTTCTGCAGTGCGGTACTTGTTTTGCGTATGTCGTCATGAAAATGTTTGATTGAGAAAATTTCTGTTGAATCTTGGCCCAAGTAAATATTTTTGGCCTTTAGAAACTCTGGTTTAAAAAATAAAAAACTTAAAATTCTGGATGGAATTTAATCGGATAATTGTTCTTAGATGATTAAGGATTCAAGATGGAAGGATGTTGTAAATGGCTACACTACATGAGAACCTTTATGTACGTAGCACGTGTCTGCTTCCTGGCTCTTCTACAAGTTTTTGCTTATTTTGTAGCTGCATAGGATATTATTAGATCTTTCCCTTTTTTACTTATTACCATCATTTCCCACAATATGCTTTGTCACTTCTCTACTGCTCTAGCACATTATAGGCATATGTGAGATGGATCTGATCTGTGCATGCTAACTTGTTTAGTGTCCATCTGCTCTATGACTCTAGACTGTTTTATTTATAACTATTTTTGTTCCAATTTCTACAGCTTATCCTACAGGTCAGTCAGATCTGTTCCTGTTCACCTTAGGGACAAGTTTTGTAGCTGACTTTCCAAATTTGGAACATGAATCTGTCCCAATTTATTAAGTTGTGCTTTTACTGCCTTCAGTAAGAGCTGTGTGTAACACCAGAGCCCCAGACTCACTGCATAGAAACTAAGAGTGGGTATATGCATAGGACCCAGTTGCTGAAAGTCAAATAAAATAATTCCAACTGAAATGCTAAGTTTTGAAAGCCTAGAGAAGACTTGAAAAAGCTGAGATATCAGAGGGAAGCAGAAATTGCCCTCCTAAGAGTACAGTTTGTACCTGTTTTCCATTCATCTTTAATTCAGCCTGATGCTGACAGTCTCCTGAATGCAGGTATATATAGGATCTGTGGATTTCCAGTGTCTTCAATACAGTTGTTTTCATCAGTCTGTGACCAGGATTGATCTTGAATATCGCCCATTAGTGCATACCTTTGTCATCTGTTGATAGTACGGGAGATCCATTCTGTTGAGTTCAAGTGTTCCTTGCCATTTCTTCCAGGGCCCATAGGATCAAGCGGTCTAACTGGTGGTTATATCCCTTCATTTCTGAAGAAGGAAGTAGGCTCTGCTGGGCAGAGGGTTCAGTTAGCACCAGCTGTGGATCCGTCTTCTAGTAAGTACAGTACCAAAGTTGTCTTGGTCCCTTGCTCATTACTCTGGTAAAGCTGTATACATGCAGCACTGAACTACGTATCTTTGCTTTACTTTACTTGTACATATTTGACTGACTGGAACTACAGTTTGTAACCTCGATGAACTTCATAGGGAGAAGGATTTGGTTTGTTTTTACTTTGTTTATGAAATATGTGGGTTTATCCACAGCATATTTCAGAGGACCTAGAGGTTGGTATGAGAGCTGGAACAGAATTCACACTTGTCAAATTAATGATAGGAATACTCCTTGTCTGATAAGGTTTTAGGGATTGGATCCACTGTTGTTTCACATCAGCGAATTCTGTTAAAAAAGGAGGCTTATTTCCTGAAGAAATAAGGATCTGGACCTGCATCCAGTTGCTGTTCAATGTGGACAGCTACTCACTGAACCTTCATCTCACGGCATTTTCTTGTGTCCCTTAGATTATGCTTCTCTGAAGTCAGTAAGACCCCATCTTGGACGGCCATCGTTCAATTCGCCTACAAAAAGCACGCCAAGGTTGATGCCTCTCCCACCACCAGCTCAGCCGATCCACGGGCGTGTTGACTGGTCTGCAAAGTATGGTGCTCACCGGTGACGTGTGGAAATGCTCTCTGAACCAGCGCGTGTTTCCCATGAAATGGTGGCTAACTTGAGACAATTTGATACTGTTTTATACGCCTGTAAATTTAAAAGAAACAGATCTTCTATGAGCAAGACATTTTGAAGGTTTTTTTACTTTTATTTGTATTAATTTTAATGCAATCTTGTACCTTTTTGTATAAAATTGTTCTGTTATATAATTGGGTCCAGTTATTTTCATAGATCTGATACATTTTGTATATATGGCTTAGGGGGTTTGGCATTTTTATATGATAAATTTTTATAATGAACTTTTTTAAAATTTAACTTTTCCTTTATTAGATTCAACTTTTTTATAAAAGTGGATAAAAGAAAAGCAAAGTGGTGCAATATTGCAGTAGAAGAGGAGTACTGAGGAAGGGGCATTCATTAGACATTTTCTGAAGTTTATGTGCTAAATGAGGCTGTGGCATTTCAGTGATGCCACGTCTTGATGCCACGCTTCTGTTGTCCTGTACTCGTTTGCTTTGTACTGACATCAAAGGAATGAGTGACTTAACAGTCTGAACTCTCCTTTGCAGTCGTTGAGAGACTGCTGAAAGTCAGTGGGAGGCTTTTTTTTTTATTATTTTTAATTTATTTTTGCCTTTAAAAGGTTTTTATTGGACTGCTCTCCAACTTTCCAGCTCCATTCTTTTGCTTTTACCAAATTTGGGGAATCTTCTTCTTTGGTGAAGGGTGAATACCCTTCTGTAGATCTGTTTTCTGATGCAGCGCTCTTTTGTCCTGCTTCAGAGTTGCTTCTTGGCATTGTTCACTATGAAATAGAATATGGACCTACCTCTGTTAAATTCATTTAAATGCTCTAATGATTTCTAAGGAGAAAAACCAGATTCTGTTTCTTCTTTTTTTTTGTTATTTTTGGGAATATAAGATCTGAAGACATATCTAAGACAGTATTAACAATTATAAAGCTGGTTTCAGAGTGTAACAAAGTATCAGTGATCTGCAGGCAGCAGAGTTTAAGGAAACAATATCTATGCAGCTGATTTAATCTTCACAACTGTTTTAAATCACTTTTGGGAAAAAAAAAAGCCAGAGGAAATGAGTCAGTTTAAACTTACTTCAGTTCTTTTTCACTTCAATACATCTTTACTTACAATGTGAAGAATATGTCAGCTTCCATAAATTAGGCCCCCAGGCTCTACTGGGAAAAATGGGATCTTGCCTGGTTCTGCTAAAAAACGTTCTAAAATTGTGGTTGATTTCACGGAAATGGATACAACTCTTTCTTTGAAGAGCAGTTTAACTCAGTTTATAAGAGAAAATTAATTACCAGGTTATAGAGAAAAGAAAATAGCCCCATTGTCTGGTTTAATTCTGCACTGGAAAGGAGAGCCAGAGGCCAGCCATCAGCAAAAGATTCATTGAGAACACAGTCAGTCAGCAGTTGGCTGTTCCTGTACCTCCTTCCGCAGAAGGAAGATAAAATGGTACAGTGTTGTGGGAGAACATCTTTCATAGCTGCGTTTTGGAGCAGCAGCACCAAAGCTGAAGTGTGCTGTGAAAACGCATCTTCCTGCAGAAGTGTACAGAAATGCTCGTCTTTGAGCTTGTTTTATGATCAGACCAGGCAAATCATGTATTTATAAGACTTAAATCCAGTCTAAAGGGATCAGAACAGGTATGGTTCTCAGAATCCCACCATTCTGAAGGAGCTGAAGGGCCAATGTGTCCGTGAGATCCTCTCCGTAGGATCTGCTGGCACCCATGAGGGGCAGACACTGTGGCCTGGAGACTGGTAATGCATGCTGGCCTTTTCCATACTTCTCAAGGAGAACGTGTGGGACTTCGAGGAAACTGTACCCTAGAGTAGGCTGCTGGCTCAGTGCTACGGGGGGAACCATGAGGAGCACTGGTCACGGGTTGCTTTTATGGACTCAGTCCACAGTGAGACAGTACATAAGGCAAAAAGGGAGCAAAAGGGTCTATGCATTAAAAAAAAGGACGCATGTAAGAAAGATCAACGCGTGCCAAGGATGTGTTATGTGTCCAGCTACTCCGTTAGTTGTTTGTAGCAAGTCCTGACTCCAAACCATACCTAACTGCTTCCAAAGCGGTGATGCCAATGCGTAGCAGTAAAATAAAGCAGCCATTTGATTTCTAAAGCACACATTGATGGTGTCTTTGGGTAAGTGGAAAGGAAAATTTGTATATTTGTGTTAGAACTGGAAAGATAGTTGTTTCTCTTGGTGGAAATAAATATCTGTATTTATGTCTAGATATCATTTAATTTATTTTATCACTGAATAATTGGTCTCAAGGGGGAACACCCTGAACTTATCCTAAGTATCCCTAGACCTAAGTAGGCAATTTAACTAGCCTGTTCCATACGCTTAATCACTACTAGTGGGAGCAGGAGATGTGAACAAGTCACGAGAACAGGCTGCTGAGGCTTGGGTTCATCCTACCTAACCTAAGCCTGAGCTCCTTTGGTGTGAGCTGACTCTTTAAACCAGCAGTGAGTGAGAATCATCTCAAGAGATGTTCGCCTCACACAAGAACTTGGTAGCCCTCTGGAGATGCCTGGGGTTTCCCCCCGAAGGACGGGGGCTACTCCATGTGTTTAAAGTTATACAGGATGAATCTGAACCTGGCCTGTAATCTCAGAGCCTTTATCAGCCCTGCAGTGGGTTTCTTGACACCAGCATTCAGATTTTGGTCAGTAAAGCAAGAAGGTTAGAAGAAGTAGTACTCTTTTTTTTGGCATATCTCCCCCCTTCTCAAACTGAAGCCTTTATTTTGGAAAAAAAAGCTAATAATCTTGATATTCAGCATCACTTCTGCTAGTTTTAACTGAGTGGGACAGAAAGTTAGGCAAGTACAGCGGCAGCACTTGTAGCCTTTACTCAAGCAAATTCCTACTGAAGTTGGAAAAAGTTCTTTTTGGGTAAGGACTGAGTTATGTATGTTACTGTGCTGTCTCCGTGTGCAATACAGTTATGGAAAAGATGTAGGTCTTTATTAGACTGAAATAGAGTTGAGTGGCATATCTGAAAATTTATCATACGTAACCTACTACGTGTTTTAATATTGTTTAGTAGCATCTTTATCAACATGTTTTTAGGATTCTACTGTTTACATTTTCTCAGGCTTATGCATAACGCGTAATAACGACCGTCGGAAATAAAGGAGCCTGACAGTGGACTCATTCACCTCTGTAATCCAGATTTTCGTAAAAGTATTGTGTAAGTGCCATGATGTTAGCCAAAAAAAAAAAAACCAAACCCAAGCCAGAAAACCCACTTCCGTGGTATTTCTGTGTCTAATAAGGCTGTTGATACGAGTAGGATGTTCCATAATGTGAGGAGGAAAAGGTGTATTGAAAGAACATTTTTGAACTTTTCGTGGAAGGAGAGGGTGGAATTGTTGGAGTAAAGGAGTAACGGTTCTTGCTTATTCAGTGTTTCTGTTGAAAAACGTTATAAATGTTTGTTTCATTCCTTCTGTGTCGAGTCTCCTGCCCTGAATAAAGTTACTCTTGAAGAAATACTGACTGACTAGCATCTCGATCTTTTATTCAGTTCTGAATAAAAGCACTTTAGTTTGGCTTTTGTTTGTTTAGTTGTGGGTTTGGTGGGTTGTTTTTTTTAACAAGCCTTACGTTTGGTGCCTTCCTGGGAGGGTACTGCCTGCCGGCAGCTGCGCTCGTTCTGCAGGTTCACTGGCCACGTGAGCGGAGTCTAAGCGGGTAATTTCTGCAATGTATCGTGAGCTTCGTAGAGCCCATAGTTTAGTCCTCGGATGTCAACTCCTCTGCAACTAACTGCAGTGCCGGGTTGCAACGGAAGACGTGCAACGCCTCGGAGGGGCGGGCAGTTGGTGGCTGGGGGACAGAAGTGGGAGAAGTGATAAACTGAGCATTAAAATTTAATGAGAATTCTTCACTGCATGCAGAGCGTTGAACGAGCGCAGGGGGAGCTCTGGAAGGTTTTTAAGGGTTGACTGTCTTTCGTTTCCTGGTGGCACAAAACAATGGCAGACTGTCTTTCGTTTCCTGGTGGCACAAAACAATGGCAGACTGCCCCGTGCAGTGCCTCACTTGGATGTGTCTGCAGTCTTGGAAGCTTGACTACCCTACGTTCTCCTACAAATGGACCTTGAGCTTGTTTGGAGGTTCTAGCAGGGGAGCGCAGCTACCGTATACCCTTGACCGATGAACGGTCCGTCTCTATCGGGGAAGGTCGTCCTCTTCGACCGAGCGCGCAGCTTCGGGAGGGACGCACATGGAGCGGTGAGGGAGGAAGGGGACACCCGCCTAGCCAGCCAGATCAGCCGAATCAACCCTGGCGATCAATGGGGTGACAGATGTCGCAGCCAGATCGCCCTCACATCCAGGAGACAGCTCCGCCCGCAGCGCTATATAAGGCTCGCGGCCCCCACCGCCCTCACCTCACGGCGATGCCGCTCGAGCGGGACGTCCGCTGACAGACACCCCGGAATCACCTCTCCACGACGGCAAAACCTTTCGGGCTAAATCAATTCAAAATCTTTAACGTTTAATGTTTTTTGGTTACGTTTTACTTCCAGAAGCCTTTGCGAAATATGCAGAGTAGCGGCTTCCTATTGGCGGCTGTCCCGCTTGTCGCCGCCTCGTAGCGCCGAGGGCGGGAGGGGGGTGGACGACTGCGG